GTATTTCCCATCGTTTTCCATCGCTATAGTTTCAATAAAGTTACTTTTTCTTATAGTGCGAACACGCTGCCACTAATAGTGTGTTGGCGCGGCGCGGCCACTAGAGGGAGCCAAAAGCAAGCAAATCATTCCCAGATTTCTCTCCTCGTTCTTTTCAACTGTTATATTTGTAAATAGTTATTTTTATAATTCTAAACTCACTTTTTGTTATTGTTTTAGTTTCTTATATTTATAAATATTATTATTTTTTGCCTTTCTCGCTGTCCCATTCATTTCAATGCGGAACTTAAAACGTTTATAACTCCCGAACCAAAGGTCCTAGAGACTTGAAACCTTGATCCGTCAGACATAATTCGGGTCTTCTGAACACGCCAGTCTTGGTCCCGAGACTCTACGACTTTCGGTTCCGGAGATATACAAAAAACAAAGTTTTTTTGGCAGATATCGCGAGAATGGAAAGTCCCACAGTAGAATGGCTGGCACCATTTGAAAGCCAACCTCATAGTACGGGGGGGTACATCGGTTTCAATGCTCTACGACGTTCCGTTTCTGAGATATGAGCCCTCAAACTTTTATGGTGGGGGGTACATTAAAGAGGTTCTCACCCCCGCTCCTCGAGGCTTACGTCACTCACATTTCCTGTTCAAATCTCCCTCCAAATGGGCGTAGCCTGGAGGACCAAAGGGGACAGGCGGGGGAGGGGTGAATGTTGGGCGGGTCTAAGCTGTGATTGACACTTGACATCAGCATTGGCCGTGTCAATGATGGAGAGTGAACACAGCGACGCCAGCTCCACAGCTTCTGTGCGGTCTTGGGAGGTGGAGGACTTCTCTCCACCGTCCTCACCGGAGGTTGAGAGAGAGGAGTTTGAAAGAGAGGAGGCAGACAGCGGTCCTCAGCCCTATCAATTTGAGCCGCTAGCTCGCGAGCTAGCTGGCGCCACCGGAGGAGCCGATGCTGCAGAGGCTGCGGAGGCTGCAGAGCGCCACAGAATGGGGCCTGTTTCTGAATGGTATATATTGATTACAGTGGCATAAAAAAGTATGATCTGCATTTAGGTCACAGGTATTGATAAGCAATCCTGTAGGAATTGGAACCCCCAAATTCTAACCTGTCTGATTCGAACCTTTGACAAGCGTGGGTTATTACATAGGCTATAACACAGTCCCATATAATTAAATTACCCCCTTATGTTGCGCCCTTTCCTTAACCTTTTCGTTGAATTAAACCTCTGTAAATGTAATTAATGACCCCACACCTAGATAGACAATATATTGTGTTATCATATAGTTATAATATTGTAGACTCCGTCTCAATAGGTGCACCTGCGGCCACTGCACCTCATTGTCCCCAAGGGAAAACATGTGCTGCAGGGAGACCCCGAAGGTATTTTTGATGGAAACGATACCACAACATAATATACAATTATGTACACAAAACATTAATTTAACATGCTCAAACATTTTGACTACACAAGACTAAAGTCTTGTCCCCGATGTCATCATTAAAATTCTGACTGACATCACTGTAATAGGTAATGTGCAGATGTCAGCAGGTGGGTGTGGACACCTGCATAACCCAGCACCCCGGATTTGAGCCAGTGGCTCTAAATCCATATGTTCTCCAAGCAGTGTACGCCACATACGTGCAACTGTTTGGAGACATGCCAGAGACCATGGTGAACAGGTTAGTTTATAGTTACATTATAATCTATTGATTATTTCTTTAAAACGCACCACCATTCTTTCAGCGGTTATAGGCACCTGGCCTACCGTAATTTTGTCCGGTGGTGCTGGGGGTATTTGGGGGAACACGTACGGGTCATCATCCCCTCCTGCGCGGTGACCAGGATTAGGAGCGAGTTCCCTGAAGATGGCAATTATATAGGTTTTCTCCCACCACTGGACTTCAACTAGTTTTATTTTATTAAAGTGTTTTATTTGTAATTTATTGTGTCAATTAAAAAAATTTCTGAAAAGAATTGTAACTTTTAGTGATTGGTTATTTCAGTATCGATTTGAAATCATGCTTTTATACTGCACTTTTACTCTCAATATTGATGTAGCTTACTTAGCTTTTGAAGGCTGCACCCTCAAAAAAAGAATATCTAAACAAAAGTTTGAGTGCCCAGTAGAGGAATTTACTTACTATATAGCAACAGCTTTGAGGTGACATTTTCATAAACAACAAGGTAAATTTGGAACAAGTACAACAGAATAAAGGTCCTACAATAAAATATTTACAAAAGGAAGCATATATATACACACACACACATATACACATATATACATACATACATATATATATAAATAAAAAACTTGATTAGATACACATGCAACATTTTTAACAGTATGTACTCAGGTAAAATGACCTGACCAACATTCCATTGAATGTCCAGTTTTATTGGAAATTTTGAATGTCGAGTGGAACTTCACAAGGGTTGATGTGTGGTACAGAGGGCTGATTTTGTCAACATCCATCCGAAACCGCAGAGCCAACATAATAGCCGAGTCTCTTGCATGCTTCTTTTACCAACTGAAACATTAGCAATACATTATTGTACTTCAGACTTTTGTTAGAGTGGCAATGTGTTGTGTTGCTCACCTTACGTTCTCTTGACAAACCTGGACCTGTGCCTGCTTACAGCCTCCTGTTTGTCAGGTCTTTCAAACTGGGCACAGAGTGGTTCAGGCACAGGTACTTTGTCAGAGTATTCCTGATAAGGACGGGCATCCTCCACCACGCTTTCAAAAAGCAGATCCATAAGCTTGTCAATGTAGTCTAAAAAAAATCAAAGTTTATCCTCATAATACTTATAAGCGTCATGCTAGTTTCAATAAATATGACATACATGAAGTAGGGTTGGTTTTCATGGCTCTCACTGTGTAGTCTCCGCGCTTGTATTTTGGGTACACTACAGAATACCTCAGCTCCCCAACAGACGTTGCAGCATGTGCCCTATTTGCATTTTCATTATAGTGCAAAGCAGCGACCTGCAGCCTAAAATTTCACATATAAAACAATATATCTGTATATTATTTCTAAACATTTCTAAGAGATTAAATAACCCAAGTGAATTTTTGTTAAACCTTTAGGATTCATTACCTAGCCAGCATTCCTTTGAATGAGAAGCCCACACTTTTGGGAGAGAATCTGATGATCAGGCTATGGAATGCCTCGATGTGTGACGTGTGGTATTGTGGGCTTATTTTCACTACATCTTTCACAAAACGTGGTGCCAACAAAATACTGGTCAGCCTTTCACATGCTGCTGTGCCTACAAAGAAAACGACATATTGATATGTCAAATGTAAACGATTAATATAAAATTTGAGATTGAGTAAGGGAGGAGCAGTTGTAATTACACATACTTGGCTTTAGCCACACTCTTGCATCATCCCCAACCAAAGGCTCGTGAGTACAGCGAGGGAACAGGGGGTTTTTATGAATGTGAACATTCTGAACGTGGTTGCCTACAGATGTCCACTTAGCCACAGCCTCGTCACCTGAGGAGGAGGTTGATGCCGACCAATACAGATGGTTCACTACGCTTTTTTTCCATATCTTTACGTCCTCCGTTCCCCTTTTCTTCCCCAGCTCCTCCATTTTTTTCCCGATTCCTGGGACGCCCACCAAAGATAAAATTGTTTTTAAATGATGTACAAAATTAAAAACACACATTACAATTTACAATTACTGAAATACATACCCTTTCCCATGTGCCAAGGATCAAAGTAGTGACTGATATCCGGTCTTTGTTCCCGTAAAAACTTCTGGACGCCCGAGTGTCGGTCAGTCACAATCGCTTGCACTTCAACACCCCTCTCTTCAAGCATTGTCAGACTACGGACAAATCCCTCCTTCTCCATGCGGAACACTGTTCCCCACTTCATTACTCTGTCAAGGCAAAAAGATTTATACTTCCAATCGACATGTTAGGAAGTAACTGGTTACGTTCAAATGACATCACTACATTATAAATATTCTTCAATGTAATTGTTGGGCAAATAATATTTCTATAGTAGTAACAGTTCACATTAAAGTATGTTGCGATGTTGTCATTTTTTATTTAAAGAAATCTCCAAACTGAAAAACAAATTGATTTGTATATGATTATTCATAAACCTTCCAAAGAAACACATCATTTTGAATAGTGCCACAACTTTTGGCCACAATGTTGTGATGTCCTGTGAACGCAACATGTTGTGATGTGATTTACCTGAACAAGCTGAATGTCAATTACCCGGTTAGCTTTGAGATTCATCATTGTGTAGCTCCCGTATTTTGCAGAGTGTCCTACAATAAGACAATATACACTTAAGCCAACTTTTCACATCTGTCAGAAGCTTGTGGATAAAGAATTACCAGGTGAATCGGCTCGCAAATCTCCACCCAGTGTCATAGCCCCACCAGCAACAGCCTCCATGACACGTTCATCCTGCTCAAGCTTCCACTGCCAATTGACTGTTGGGATGAGGAGCTTGGCTTGATGCCTATAAAAACACTGCTCAGACAGTCCCTGAACGTTGAAGGCCCTGAGGAACTATAAAACGTGAACACATTTCATCAACTGATAGATATGGAAACATGATAATAACAAAATAGTATTGCTCTACCTTTGAAACCTGACGAATAGATGAGCCAGTAAACAATACTGCTGCACAGAGCTGTAGGTTTCCAGCGGGAATGTTGTTCACCAGTGGCTGGCTGGACCACTGGTTGAAGTACTCACAATGAGTACACTGCTGCTTCACCCGGAGCAGTGTGCCGACTGTCACGGTGTCAATAATGCAATGACGGGTGCAAACAGGACAGCTCCGGAATAGCCCCAGCAGTTGTTCCTCATAAACAATGTACTTATATTGTTTATGTGGAGGGACTTGTGTGGGAGTTCTATATTGCAAAAGAACAATCAATAAATATAGGCCTTGAAAGCTGAAAAATGTATATGATAACTTAAACAGAATACCAAAAAACTTAGGTAACATAATTTACAGATGCATCTATAAGTTAATTTATTTTTTACCCAGTACAGTTCAGGGAGCTTGCACTTCCATCCAGATGGTAGGTGGGGTCAGAGGCTGACACCTCGCACCTTGGTCTTTTGACCGGTGTGGAGATTGCCATGGGAGCTTCAGGAAACTGGACCTCCATCAAGGCCTCTGTATTGCAAGACATGGTCCTGCAATGAGGTTGTACCTGGATGGCTGTGTAAAAAACAAAAAGGTTAGTAAATGCACTAGGCAAGAGTTACAGCAAAACTATTCAATTAGCAAAAGCTCCCAACAATTATCACCTTTGCTTCTCCTGGCAGGTTTCAAATTGGCCTGGACAGATTCATGCACGCCAAGTAGTGCATCAGTCTGACAGCCAATTTCACGGGTTGATTTTGGCTAAAAACACAGTCAAACACAACATATGATCATAATTCATATTGTGTACGGTCAGGATAATCTCTAAACTCTCTAAACTTGAAAGTCAGCTTTCATTTAGTTTTAAAAATGCAGTTCTGCTAAATGACGTATGCTTCAGTTTTATCGCAGTGGAGTGTGGACAAGGAATAACAGATATACTATCTGCTATTTGAACTAAAATTATGTAAGGGTAAAAAATATATGAATTTAAACTTGGATTGATGTACTTGTATTGATAACACGATTAGCAGAAACACGTCAGAAACACTGATATCTGTGAGCACCCTGGTCATCCCTCTCATCAATGACCTGCACCTGTCCAGTCAGTTTAGCCTCAGACACACAGTAAATTGTAGCTCTACGTTAGCTTGTAGATGCTCTCACGTTTCACGCAGCTATTGCTACATATGAAACGTACAGTCATCACAAAACAGATAAGTTTGGTGCGTATTCTCATGCACAGTTGCGCCGTGTCGGCGTAACTTTGTTATTGTTGTGCAGACTGATGCGTTAGCGCGTATATACACACTCACCCTCCATATTCAACAAACCACAATAACCAAAGAGGAGTAGCTCACTATGCTGCTCCTACTACAAGCGTATTGCGCAGTGTGGCGATGGCAGCACCATTGCAGGAAGTAGCAATAGCGCACGTCAATTATTGGGCCTTGGTAGTGTGAGACTCGGAAGAGTAGTAGCGCAGGTATTACTTACTACAGGAGGATGCTAACTGCTCGATGCAGTAACAAATATAACAATTAAAAAAAAACACACATAGAAATTATTATATTTTACTTTTCAATCCCCAAATCAAAGCTGTAATCAAATATGTTGACACAACATAGCGAGCTTTATTTTTGCACTTTTACCTGCAGTGTGAATGCCGTTCCCGGTAGCCATGGCTGTTGGAGAGCCAGGGTGGGGAGAGCCAGGGTGGGGACTGCCTCTCTCTTCAAACACGGCTGCTTGGAGAAGCCCATTTCAAGCGCTAATGCGTTGGAGTAGGAATCCCGCGAAAAATGTTTGTCACAAACTCCGGGACGCAAAGGGAGTTCACCTTCGCCCTTGCCAATTGCGCGCAACCACTGGCGCCTAATTTCTAAGTCTACTGGAACACCATGTAAACCAGTAGAACTACTACAGCCCACTACAATACACTTCCTCCCCATACTTACTATTAACTATACAATACACTACACAAAACACTACACTAATACTACATAAACAATACAACTAAAGCTCAATGCTAACGGCTATGCTAAACGGAAACTATTCTAACACTAACAATAAAGCTAAAGACTAACTAACGCTATAAAACAACTAGGCCTACTACTAGGGATAAAACTATATTAAATGTAACTAATCTAAGTGGCTAAGTATTAAACTAATAACGCAAACCTGATAATCGCTGTGAAAAAACTCGCTCGCTCTGATCCAACTCCAACTCCAACACTCTACGAGAGCCTCTAGGGGAGGGGTCAGCTTTTATACCACAGCGGCAGACTTGGTGACGTATGATGGCACTGTGACGTATGATGGCACCTCCTCTGCCAACCACTAAATTCAAATGTAGTAAGTGCTGTTCAAACGTGAGAGGCGCTGAACAGACGGTTTTGTACACAAAAATTGGATTTTGAACAAGTTTGCACTAAAATGTCAAAATAATGATAAGGACATGTAGACAACACTATTGGACACTCATTTATACAGTTTATCAGGAAAAAAAAGTGGATTTGAGGGTGAGTTGTTCTTTAAGTGGTTTTTACCCCCCTATTCTAACCCTAACCCTAACCCTAACCCCCTAACCCTAACCCAAAGACAATAGAACTTTACTGTGGTAACAACCTATGGAAGTTCTGCTGCCACCAACATGTGATCAGGTCTCATTATGAAAGGACCTTCAAAGGTGAAGTTGGGTCCTCTAACAATCATGTACTCCTATGTTGGGCTATTTGATGTGAGTCTAAATGAAATGCTTTATTAGTGTCAAGGCTATGACTTGGGACCCCAAAGCAGAAACAGGAGGCAGGGTTGGAAAACAACATTTATTTACCATTTAAAGAATGATCTTAGTCGAGTCATCGGAGGTGTAAATTTGTCAGCTTCCTTTTGTCTTCGTCCTCTCTTTTTGCTCCTTTCTTTCTCCTCCTCCACATGGATTCTCTGGTTTGTTTTTTTTTTCTGTGCGTGGTCTCCTCAGTCTCCGGACCCAGTCCCCCCTCAGCCTCCGGACCCAGTCCCCCCTCAGCATCTGGACGGAATTGGATTCTTTGCTCAGCCTCCTGATTGTGTCCCTTTTCCTCCTCAGATCTCTTCCTCTTTTCCCCATAAAGGCTACTCTGGTGAAAAATCTTGTTTTTAAGCGGAAGAAAAATGGATGGATCGATCTGCTGAATCTGAGGGGGATTTTTGTTCTCCAGACTGAGTCCACGTCGGTGTCCCTCTTTCTCCTCCTCGCCCGGAGGAGGACTGAGTCCACGTCGGTGTCCCTCTTTCTCCTCCTCGTCCTCCTCCGGACGGAGTGCCTCTTCCTCCTCCGGACGGAGTGCCTCTTCCTCCTCCGGACGGAGTCCCTCTTCCTCCTCCGGACGGAGTCCCTCTTCCTCCTCCGGACGGAGTCCCTCTTCCTCCTCCGGACGGAGTCCCTCTTCCTCCTCCGGACGGAGTCCCTCTTCCGGACGGAGTCCCTCTTCCGGACGGAGTCCCTCTTCCGTACGGAGTCCCCCTCTTCCGTACGGAGTCCCCCTCTTCCGTACGGAGTCCCCCTCTTCCGTACGGAGTCCCCCTCTTCCGTACGGAGTCCCTCTTCCGTACGGAGTCCCTCTTCCGGATGGAGTCCCTCTTCCGGATGGAGTCCCTCTTCCTCCTCTGGACGGAGTCCCTCCTCTGGACAGAGTCCCTCCTCTGGACAGAGTCCCTCCTCTGGACAGAGTCCCTCCTCTGGACAGAGTCCCTCCTCCGGACAGAGTCCCTCCTCCGGACAGAGTCCCTCCTCCGGACAGAGTCCCTCCTCCGGACAGAGTCCCTCCTCCGGACAGAGTCCCTCCTCCGGACAGAGTCCCTCTTCCTCCTCTGGACAGAGTCCCTCCTCTGGACAGAGTCCCTCCTCCGGACAGAGTCCCTCCTCCGGACAGAGTCCCTCCTCCGGACAGAGTCCCTCCTCCGGACAGAGTCCCTCCTCCGGACAGAGTCCCTCCTCCGGACAGAGTCCCTCCTCCGGACAGAGTCCCTCCCTCCTCCGGACAGAGTCCCTCTTCCTCCTCCGGACAGAGTCCCTCTTCCTCCTCTTCCTCCTCCGTACAGAGTCCCTCTTCCTGGATTCCCTTTATGTTCCTCTTTTGTGTGTGAAATTTCAGGGTTTTGACGCACACCCTTTGGTCTAGGCATTTGTTTTTCCCCAAAATGTTTGCCGTGTTTGGGCTCACAAAGGCCTGCCGAATCTGAGGGGGAAAATAGAAGAGTTGTCAAATACACTGGAAAGAACGGTCAACAGTCTACTGAAACCCTAAAGAAAAAACCTAAACTTTGGGAGTAAGATTTTTCTTTGTAGTGAAACGCATGAAAGGCAAAAATGTGTCAAAGCAGATCATTTGAAATTGGCCTCTGAATGATCCCAATAGTTTAAGGAAAGCACTCCTACCCCTTGAAGTTCAACCGCCACCTTTTGTGGGGTAGTTTCTTCCTCCATTTTCTGGAAAAAATACAAACAAAAAACCATTAGCTATAAGACACTGGGCTATTTCCTCTGTTAAACCCAAGTTTCAGCTCTAAAACAATAGCAAAAACCCACATTCTTGATAAAAGTCACTTCACTGTGGAAATCTACAGAGTGAGAAAAGCGGCTGAAGAAAGATGAATAAATGTCGACTCACATGTCTTTTAATTAAATTTGGGACATTCAAAATGACCTTCAATTCTTGCCCCTGTAATGCAAGAAACAAAGTTGTAGTAAGGCTAGGGTTGACCAAAGATGACCAAAAGGAGGAGTTAGGCCTGGCTCCTCTCTGATCAACTCCTTCTTTTGGTCTTTGAGCTGAAGAACTATGTATCATTTACTATATATTTTTTACATGAAATACAAATAAATTCCATTCTCACCTTGTATGACGAAGGCCCTTCTGCCCCCGCCTCCCAGTTCGGGTCATCGTCGGAAAAAGAAATCTGCTCATCGTCCAAATCTGATAAAGATATTGGCACATCTTCCTCTGCCTCTTCTAAGAACTTCTGCAATAGTTTCAAACAAGAAAAACTTATTTTTCCTCAAACTGAAGATAGTAATCACTGTGGATGTAATCTGTCACCACAATATCTTGGCCTTTTCTTTTAGCCTTTTTTATTAAATTTGTGAAGGGGGTAATCAGACGCCTCTCTTGGATGACCTCTTCTTGGATGACCTCTTCTATTGAGCTGTCAGTGTCCTTTAGAAAAGAACATTCATCACAAGTCATGTTTATGTTACAAAGTCATCATCTCAAATGAGGAAAACAAAATGGATGGAACCCAATAGATTATGACACTTCTTACTGATAACTGGTGGCCAATTTTCCTTTTGGGAGGTTGCCACTCGTCGGACGAGTCTGCTGAAGTTTCTATAACCCTTCTTTTGATCGTTGGGACTCCGTCTTCAGACGACTCTGCTGAAGTGTGATTGTCCTTAAAAAAAAGATGACATGGAAACATTACTACCACAGTATTTTTTGCTGAAAAGTATCAATGAGAGTACCAAGGTCTCCTTGTAACAAGTGTGAGGAGTCCTCTTTGCCATAACTCTTCTTTTGCTAGTTGGGAGTATTTCTTCATCGTCTGAAGACTGAGTCCATTCCGGTTGTGGCTGGAGTTTTTGGACCCGCTTCTTCGGGGGCGGGGTGACATCAGAGGGCGGGGTGACATCAGGCCGCCCCCTGATAACATCCGGGATGTTCCTGGGCAAGGAGTGGTCTCGGGAGCCTCTCTTTTGTAACGCTTCTATCTTTTTTTGTTTTTTTTTTTACTGCATGGGACGAGACCTTACCGTTAGTCTGTTGGTCTCCAAATGTCAGAATCTGATTCGGGCTCTATTCAGACGAGCGTGTGGTGAATTTCAAGACAATCGGACAAAATCTGAGCCTTTGACGAGCCTATGAGTCCTAAAGATGGCGAATCTTTGAAGCCCCGCCTATCGAAAACCGTAGGTGCGGCGGGCACATAACACATATCCCCAGACTCGTCTTACCACCGTTGACAACATATCTCCAAATCAGGTGTCACAACTGTGTGGGAAAAAAATGGATTGGATTTTTCAATTGACAGGGAGGATGCTCTCAGGGATGTGGACCCATACTCCATTTTTTTGGACTACATTTCAGACAGCCAATTAACTCCCCTGAGGGTCCGATTCAAAATCGAGCAATGGATATTGGTAGAGGACCCTCTGGACACTGTCTGTGCCGATTTAGGTGTCAGTAGGGTCAAAGATGGGGGCGTAATTGAGGAAAAGCAAATGGCAGATTTTATCGCTCCGATTCTACAAATGTTCATGTCTTTTTGGCATAATTTGAAAATGATAATACGTAGAGGTCTGACGGTCGGACCCACTTCTGATATACCGGCACAGATTTCAGACTCTTAACTTAAACCATGTTTGAATAAATGCAAAAAAGATACATTTTCAACCGTATAGTCTGGGTAATTCATTTCAAATAGCCCAACATAGGAGTACATGATTGTTAGAGGACCCAACTTCACCTTTGAAGGTCCTTTCATAATGAGACCGGCTCAGATTTCAGACTCCTAACTTAAACCATATTTGAATAATACAAAAAAGATTCATTTTAGTTCTTATTCTTATTACATCATTTAATATAGCCCAATATAGGAGAATATTATTGGTAGAGGATCCAACTTTGCCCTTGAAGATCCTTTGAGGAGAAAACTAATCTCTAAACCCCATCCTTCACAGCCACCAAATCTTTTCTAATCGACCCGACTCAAATCCCTTCTATTCTGTTATACTCTATTCTTATTCTATTTTTCCTCCTGCTACTTCTCCTCACCATCTCTCTTGCTCCTTTACGTTCTGTATTAGTGCAGTTCTTAATTTTACCACCAGATAGAGGCAAAGAGAGGCTGAGAGCACAGCAATTATGCACAGGTGTGTAAACATCCAAACAACACTATGAATGCAGACAAGAGCACAGCCACTATTAGTCTATTTCTGTTTTGGGGTGTTGACAATCAGAGCTGCCACCCAATTTGATCTGGTTTAAGGTATTTATCTAGTTTTTAATTTGTTTAATTTCAGAGTTTAATTGATTTGTTTTCATTTGCTCAGGCCAACAGCATGAAATCAAGCTCTTTGTGTGCGTACAAGCATGTGTCTGTATGTGTCTATGTGTCTGTCTCTGTGTGTGTGCGCATACGAGCGTGTGTCTGTCTGTGTGTATGTGTGTGGGTTTTTCTGTATGTGTGTTAATTTCAGGTAGTTAGGTTAAAACGGGAATATGGGGTCAAAGAAGGTGGACCTTGTAATTTTGGGAATATGGGGTCGAAGAAGGTGGACCTTTTAATTTTAATAAGATGGTCTTCTGTCCATCGTACAGGTATGACCATTGAAAAAAGCCCACTTTCTCAGTGAGTTCCCATAACCCTAACCCTCACCCTCACCCTAACCCTACCCTAACCCTCTAACCCTAACCCCTAACCCTAACCCTAACCCATACTTAGATTTTTTTTTACAAATAGTTATTACTATTGTGGTCGTTGTTGTTTAAGGTTTCCAATAATTTCATATGAAAGAAACAGCTTGAATGGATTTCTATGAAATAAATGATTGTATGAGTCCGGACCCTAATCTATTGAACTGCTTGAGTAAGTGGACCCCGTGCCAATTTTATTGGGGACCCCTGGTTTATAGTGTCTGATAATATGGCCCTATCTATTACTACTTTTTCTGATCACCTGTTTGACTGAGTAATGTATTTCCCATCGTTTTCCACCTCTACAGTTTCAATTAAGTTACTTTTTCTTATAGTGCGAGCATGCGGCCACTAAGTGTGTTGGCGCGGCGCGGCCACTAGAGGGAGCCAAAAGCAAGCAAATAACTCCCAGATCGCTCACCTCGTTTTTTTCACCTGTTAGTGCCTTTAAATATTTGTAAATAGTTATTTGTATAATTTGAAGCCCACTTTTTGTTATTTTATTTTCTTATATTTGTGAATATTGTAAGTACTTTTTTACACCATCATGTAAATACTTACATGATGAATACTACTAAAGATTAAAACATTTTTGAAAATATGTCAAAAAAATGTGTCTTCAATAGACTTCAAATGACCTAGAACCCGCTCATTTCATGATTCTGACAACACTTTTTGTCCAAAACACTTAAGATTAGGGTCAATTTTCGCCTTTCTCGCTATCCCATTAATTTCAATGCAGAACTTAAAATGTGTAACTCCTGAACCAAAGGTCCTAGAGATTTGAAACCTTGACCGGTCAGACATAATTGTGAGAGGCCTCCATCGCGAACCAGGAAGTGGACAGTGCAGGCTGGTCACACTGCAATCACAGTTGTATTTTTAGTTATTAAATGGAAAGAAAAATCACAAAGAAAAGGGAATAGAAACCTGTAACATTATTGTTGCACACAAAAAAGAATAAAAAATGAATAAAACAAATAATAAAAACATTTTAAATAAATATAACCTTCTATAAAAATGTTACCAAGTTCATCACATTTAAAAACAAAGTTCCCGTTAAAAACAGTCAAATGTCCATGATTTTTAAGTTAAAAACAACCTTTAAGTTAAATTTAACCGTATTTGAGTTTCTACGTTTTTGAATTTGAAGAGCCAATGGGAGGGCAAGGCAAGTTTATTTATATAGCACAATTCATACACAAGGCAATCAAAGTGCTGAACAAAATAAGAAAGCATTAAAATCATAAATAATCACAGAACATTAAAAAGAAAGATAAAAATATAAAATCAGTTGTATGCACAGCTAAACAGAACTGTTTTAAACATTGTTAGAGAGGAGGCCTGTCTCACATATTCAGGAAGACTGTTCCAGATTTTAGCAGCATGAATCTGAAAAGCAGCCTCCCCATGTTTAGTTCTGACTCTGGGCACTAACAGGAGTCCAGTCCCTGTGCTCCTCAGAGTCCCAGCAGGAGTCCAGTCCCTGTGCTCCTCAGAGTCCCAGCAGGAGTCCAGTCCCTGTGCTCCTCAGAGTCCCAGCAGGAGTCCAGTCCCTGTGCTCCTCAGAGTCCCAGCAGGAGTCCAGTCCCTGTGCTCCTCAGAGTCCCAGCAGGAGTCCAGTCCCTGTGCTCCTCAGAGGCCCAGCAGGAGTCCAGTCCCTGTGCTCCTCAGAGTCCCAGCAGGAGTCCAGTCCCTGTGCTCCTCAGAGTCCCAGCAGGAGGCCAGTCCCTGTGCTCCTCAGAGTCCCAGCAGGAGTCCAGTCCCTGTGCTCCTCAGAGTCCCAGCAGGAGGCCAGTCCCTGTGCTCCTCAGAGGCCCAGCAGGAGTCCAGTCCCTGTGCTCCTCAGAGTCCCAGCAGGAGTCCAGTCCCTGTGCTCCTCAGAGTCCCAGCAGGAGTCCAGTCCCTGTGCTCCTCAGAGTCCCAGCAGGAGGCCAGTCCCTGTGCTCCTCAGAGTCCCAGCAGGAGTCCAGTCCCTGTGCTCCTCAGTCCCAGCAGGAGGCCAGTCCCTGTGCTCCTCAGAGTCCCAGCAGGAGGCCAGTCCCTGTGCTCCTCAGAGTCCCAGCAGGAGTCCAGTCCCTGTGCTCCTCAGAGTCCCAGCAGGAGTCCAGTCCCTGTGCTCCTCAGAGTCCCAGCAGGAGTCCAGTCCCTGTGCTCCTCAGAGTCCCAGCAGGAGTCCAGTCCCTGTGCTCCTCAGAGTCCCAGCAGGAGGCCAGTCCCTGTGCTCCTCAGAGTCCCAGCAGGAGTCCAGTCCCTGTGCTCCTCAGAGTCCCAGCAGGAGTCCAGTCCCTGTGCTCCTCAGAGTCCGGACTGGTTCATATGGGACTAACATGTCACTAATATATTTTGGTGCTGAGAACCGGACTAATGAGGTCGTACTTCCTGGTTCTAGTCAGGACTAACGTGGTCGTACTTCCTGGTTCTAGTCAGGACTAATGTGGTCGTACTTCCTGGTTCTAGTCAGGACTAATGTGGTCGTACTTCCTGGTTCTAGTCAGGACTAATATGGTCGTACTTCCTGGTTCTAGTCAGGACTAATGTGGTCGTACTTCCTGGTTCTAGTCAGGACTAATGTGGTCGTACTTCCTGGTTCTAGTCAGGACTAATGTGGTCGTACTTCCTGGTTCTAGTCAGGACTAATATGGTCGTACTTCCTGGTTCTAGTCAGGACTAATGTGGTCGTACTTCCTGGTTCTAGTCAGGACTAATGTGGTCGTACTTCCTGGTTCTAGTCAGGACTAATGTGGTCGTACTTCCTGGTTCTAGTCAGGACTAATGTGGTCGTACTTCCTGGTTCTAGTCAGGACTAATGTGGTCGTACTTCCTGGTTCTTGTCAGGACTAATGTGGTCGTACTTCCTGGTTCTAGTCAGGACTAATGTGGTCGTACTTCCTGGTTCTTGTCAGGACTAATGTGGTCGTACTTCCTGGTTCTAGTCAGGACTAATGTGGTCGTACTTCCTGGTTCTAGTCAGGACTAATGTGGTCGTACTTCCTGGTTCTAGTCAGGACTAATGTGGTCGTACTTCCTGGTTCTAGTCAGGACTAATGTGGTCGTACTTCCTGGTTCTAGTCAGGACTAATGTGGTCGTACTTCCTGGTTCTAGTCAGGACTAATGTGGTCGTACTTCCTGGTTCTAGTCAGGACTAATGTGGTCGTACTTCCTGGTTCTAGTCAGGACTAATGTGGTCGTACTTCCTGGTTCTAGTCAGGACTCTATCTGCTGCATTTTGAATGTACTGCAGCTGTTTTACAGCCTGTTTGGACAGACCTGTGAGCAGGCCATTGCAGTAGTCTAACCTACTGGAGACAAATGCATGGATAAGAATCTCCAAGTCTGCTTTAGACACTATGTTTTTGATCCTGGCAATGTTTTTTAGATGGTAAAAAGCTGCTGATGTTACTGATTTGATGTGGCTATTAAAATCTAAGTCTGAGTCCAGTATTACCCCTAGATTTCTGACCTTGTTTGAAGGTTTTAGGGAGAGAGACTGGAGGTGACAGATGACGCTCTCTCTTTGTTTCTGAGGACCAAAGACAATCAATCAAGCAA